TTTCTTCATCTGAGAACTGTCTGTTCATATCCTTTGACCACTTATCAACTGGGAAATGGCTTGTATTCTTATAAATTTGACATAATTCTCTATATATTTTAGAAATGACGTCCTTATCAGAGAGACTGGTTGTAAAAATTCTTTCCCAATTTTCTACCTTCCTTCTAATCTTAGTTGCATTGGCTTTGTGCAAAAACTTTTCAATCTAATGTAATCCTAATGATCTATTTTGCTTTTCATAATGTTCTCTATCTCCTGTTTGGTCATGAATTCTTCTGTTCTCCATAGATCTGACAGGTAAACTATTCCTTGTTCTTTCAGTTTGCTTATGGTATCAGCCTTTATATCTAAATCATGCAGATTGTACCTTTTTTCAATGATATTCCTTATACCACCTCCTGAGCACAGGTTACTTCATCATTGGAAATATGCCATAGTTTACTTGAGTATAACATGTGTCTCTCCATTGCCTTCTGGGTCATCCACAAATTTAATTCCTCATAGGCTCTGATGGTCTAAGATTCGCAACCAAAGCATATCACTGGGAGAATATTTCCATTGATAAGGGAAGAAAGGGGAGATCTTTGCACCTGGAAGCAGTTTAGAATTGTTAGAAGTACTGCACAATTTCTCAAATGCAATGCAACCTATTTTCATCTTCCTAATTCAATTATGGGCTCAACCTATTTCCATCTGCAGTGTTAATGCTCTAACTCAATGGCATGGTTATTCAATTGTATATCACAGTCTGGACAAAAAGCATTTCTCGTTCACTTAAGTTTTTTTTTCTTCCTGTGAGGATTGCTTACACCAAACTCTTTTAAATAATCATGGCTCTCATTGAAGAGACTTTTATTATTTAGGGCAGTTTGATGAAACAAGCACACTACAAATAGGAGCATTTAGGGGATCTTATCAACTAGAAAGAATCCTTCCTTTCATTTGGACACTGTAACTCATTTGAAATTAACAATCAGAAGGTCATTGACCAGTGTTGTTGACATGATTGTATTTGGAAAAAAAAATCCTGTAGGACCTCGCAAGAAGGGTTTGAAAACTGACTGGCATTCTGAGATTTGCAGCTCAGAGGGACATCTCTTCCCCATAGCCCTGAGTTAAAATTTGGACTATTGAGATCTTTAAGCTGGAAGAATGATTTTAGTGACAATCTTCAAGAGAGCAGAGTGGGCAGAAGGTGCTGGGACAATATGAACAGAACAAGAGAAGAAGCAGGGCAGGTGGTGGCATCCTTAGCCCCGACACGGGAAATGATCAGAAGAAAGAAGTGGTAGCTGCGGGATGATGGACAATGAGAGAGACAGAGTGACAGTGTGACATTTTAAAAAGTTCAAGAGACATATTTTCTGTGTAATTATTAGGCCATCTCTCTCTTGGACCAAAGATCATCATGGCGGCAGTCTCACAGCTTACATGCCCTTGAAAAAGTGGGTGTTCCAGAGGGTAGCAATCAACTCTGATTGATTACCAATTAATGATAGGTGGACTTCACAAAGAGAAGTGGGCTCACTCCAGTGAAGGGCTGGGAGAGGGACATCATTTCATTTTTAAACAGAACACCCAGACCACTCACAGCCTTAGGCAACCTAGACAGAGATCTACCTCTGTCCAAATTAGCTAGAGTAGAACACAATGGACAGGAATTCATTTTAGATTAGAAGTCTGATCTAGTTGAGCAGAATAGCAATACCCAGAATGTTAATCCTATCTTCCATCAGCCCTGTCCTTTTGAGAGACGGGGCTTCAGAGAAGGAAATAGGACAGGGGAAAAAGCTTGGGTTTCCCCAATTTTAATAACTGGCTATTAATGAGAGAAAAAGAATCACTTCTCTCAGTAGACAGATAAAGGAGAGTTGAGATATGAGAGTGATAGAAAAGATTACAGTGAATCATTAGGTCCCTGCTAGCATCTTCAAACAAAGAACTGGGATTGAAATTACCAGTTATACTCACTTCTTTAAAGACTGAAGCATGTTCCTAAATTTCTACTATTTCTTCAACCTCTTCCCACTGTATCTATACAATAACAGATACTGTCTATTTCTTTTTATCTAAGATGTTTACTATACCCTGATTTTGCTCCATACATAATTAGCCAGGAAGGTTTATTTTGCATGTCTATCAAGTGAGAGTATGCTGAGAAAAGGGGAATGGAGGAAACCAGGGGCTAGATGAAAATATATAAAATTTAAATTGGGACAGAAAACTAAACCTCTTTATAAATGTTAGGAACTTTCTTAATTGGAGACTCTGGGCTATTATGATTTTGTCTGATTTTGCTGTTGAGTTGTTTCAGTCATGTTCAACTCTCCATGTCCCCATTTGGGGTCGTTGTGGCAAAGATACTGCAGCAGTTTGCCATTTCCTTCTCCAGTTCATTTTCCAGGAACTGAGTCAAACAGGGTTAAGTGACTAGGCCAGGGTCACACAGCTAGTATGTGTGTGAGACTGAATTTGAACTCAGGTCTTCCTGACCCCAGGGCCAGGGTTCCACTGTGCCACCTAGCTGCCCTTTGTCTGACAGAAACTCCATAACATAGCAGAGCAAGAGACCAGATGGACTTGAGGGCCATTATATTGCTCCTAGGTTAAAAGTGAGGTAATTGTTGTAACAAGGTACAGCGGATTAAATCTCCAGCCCTGAAATGAGAAAAAAGGTAGGCAGAGAGGAGAGGGTGGTACCCAAAGAGAAAGTCATATCCTAAAATGGCTTTTCCAGAATAGATAAGGGGGTAGAAATTAGAAATACCACTGGCTCCTTCCACAACAAGAAAATAGTTTTTGTTTTTAAACTTTTCCCTTTCATTCGTTTGGGTGAAAACCTCTCCCAAATATTAAGAAGTCAGTGTGGTATAATGGAGAGCCTGCTATCTTTGGAGTAAGAGGTCTGGGGTCTGGTGTCGATATCTTTAATTCTACTACAGTTATCCCTTTCACATCACAACTTTCCCCATCTCGGTTTTGATATCGAAGGTTGGCATAAGAAATTAAATAGGAATTTTGGGGGAGTTTTGTGGTAGCCACTGATGACATGCAAAGACCAGTAGATGACAAAAGAAAAGTTCAGAAACTCAGAAATGCACAAAATATATGTATTGCATTATATAATATCAACATATTTTATCTTTTAATACCATAATAATTCAGACTTCTTCTCTGGTACGAAGGGAAGGTCAA